AACGCCGGAGCACGGAGCTTCCTATTGTCCTAACCGTTAAAACGCTAAGTAGTAGCGGCTAACTGTAAAATATATGGACCGCTGTGCCTGACGACTGCACAACCTGTTATACCTCCCGTAGACATGAAACAGCAGACAGACAGGAAGGACAAGGGACAATTTTCCTTGGTCCTATTTAAGGGTAATTTCCTTGTCCGATTCGTGTGTTCTCGTTACTTGACCTCTGAGCGCCAACATAAACAGGCGGTTAAAGGTCGCTTGTGGTCTGACGGCGTATTGCTTGCTGACTTACACATTTGCTTGGTTGGCAGAGGAAAGTTTTACTTATGGGTTTCCTGTCACATTTTCAACTTGCTCTCAAGGTGCCTTTTATTGTAGGTCAGACTACGGAAGAGCGGAATTGGCTTTTTATATTCAACAGGCGGCTCCTTTGCACTTATGCCGTCGTCACATAGCATCCCAGTCAACGCGGAGCATCTCTCCGTGCCAGAGTGTCACTCTCTGTTCCACAGATTTCTCCGTTATTTCTTGTTCAATAATGGCCAGCTCTCTGAACAGTTTTTCATCTCCGGAGAACGCGATTCCTGCTTCTTACCGGTAGTTTTGAGGTTTTTTATTCTTGTGCCTTTTTTCATAGAGGGAATTTTCCCAAAACCGACGACCGTCCTCCTGTCTTGAATCCCTTCAGAGGCTGGAAAAGGATTTTGTTAATCTGGCTGCCTATCCGGTTGACCAGTTTCTTATTATCCTGGGTGCCAATACCTTGCGGCCTTTGCGCGCAGTGCTTTTGGACTTTAGCGCTTGCATTTCCAACTCTTACACTTGCGATGCTGATGTGCCCGCGAGGCAGAAATTTGCGCCCTTCTTTCAGTCTCTCACCCTGGATCCAAAATTTCAGGAGTTTCTCAGTCCCACCGCACCCACTCGAACGCACGTCTACTTCCGAGTGAAAGGCGACTTACAGAACCATTTCTTCATCCCACATCAGACCTTTAGGCTGTCTTCCCTCAAAAATTTGCACATACTCTGTGTTGTCCCAGCTGTCGAAGATACCATGGAATTGTCTGGTTGTGACACAACCGCGGATTTATCAAAGGAACCAATTAATGGCTTTGCGCCTGGCAAGGATGATGAAGAAAAGTCGCATTTCATCTGGTTTTCATGCCCCTCCGTCGTAAAGGGTTCTGCGGAGTAACTGTTGAACCTCGCCAATTTGTATCTGAATTGTAAATATTGCCCGGTTTTTACTCCCTTTAATGTCTATTTTTTGAAGTAATCCGCCCCTTCTAACGGCCAGATACTCAGTTTATGTCTTTGTCCTCTACCTTATCTGAGTTTATTTTAGATTCCATTGTATTCATAAACCATTCCGCGCTTAGAAAGAGCCCCTTCTTTCGAAATTCCGTTGTTAGGACGACGGTCTCCTAATTGCTGATGGCTCAGGCACTTACCTAGATTTCTTATCCGACTATAGTCAGCAGTCGGTCTCATAAAATGCTAACCGAGGTTCTGAAATGTATTTTCCATTAGAAATGATTGCTTAAGTCAAGTTGGGCGAACGTACGTTTTCGATTATTCATCATCAGGCAGTTATGACGGTAGACTGAACAAACATTAAAGCAACTAATCAGTAGTAAGCAAGGGAAAGAGGTTTTCAGTGACTGATGCGTCAGATTGTAGTCATAGCAGTGGTCCAGGGAGGGAAAGGGTTCCGACAATTAGTTTATATCACTCCGTCGTCACTGTCTCGCGTCGTGGTAGGAGGCGTGAGGACGCATGCTGATTTGGTCTTCGGTCCAGTGAGCCTTAGTGCCTGTACAAACGTCTTCTGCCTGTACAAAATCTGATTAGTTAGGCATGTGGCGACAGCCATCGCAAGTATCCGCTGACGCAGGAATTTGGCATGTTTCTTTGGTACGCGGGACGCTTGGTTGACGTCTATCCGGTGACCGCTGTCAACTAGGGAAGCCAAAATCGCGCTAGATATGGACGTTACGATGCTTCGACTTGGCCAGACAGGAGTTAGTACTCACCTGCGCTTGGATTACCGCCTAGTTCGACCAAAATCGAAAGCGTAAGTTCGCTTAACTTCGCTTCCTGAATGCTTATATGGGTATCGTCGCTGAACTTAAGCGATTACTCAGGTTGAGTCGTAAAATCGATCATCCAGTAGCATAATCTCATAATATTTTGGACACGCCAGCATGTTGGCTGTTGAATGTATTCCTTTGCGGTCATCTGCGATAACTACCATCGTAAAAGTTGAGTAATTAAGGGGTATGCACTTTCTTCTATTGATGCTACATGCACTTATAAATTGACATTTTTTTATACAAAACATTAATGAAAATAATATGGTGCCCATTTGGCGGCAGGCCAAAGCTTCGAATTTTATATTCAATAAAGGGGTATATTTAGATTTTACATGATTTTCTTATTATGAAATTTTTCAAGGCCGTAAAATGTTCATTTAAATAGCATCGCTCATGAAAAAAAAGAAGATCTTCGGAAAATCGAGTTGTACTCGTGAATTTTCGAACAGATATCACTTGTTCGTCGTCAGACTAAATGAAAAGTGAGGGCTGAGAATGTCGCATTGAGATTTTGGGGGCAGAGGTTACAACGAACGGGGTGGCATTGCGCGGGAGGGTTGTGGGGACGTGACTCCTGCGGCGATAGGTTGTGCTGGTGAGGGGAGGGAGGTGTTACCGTTTGGATAGTGGGCCACGTGTTCGGGGGGGGGGTTCAGAGTCAGTGAAATTATACTTGACCGAGAACGGACAGCCTGCTGTTGTTTCAGGCTGGGCGCAGGTTAGTCGACCATGCGCATATGTCCGTCTATTAGTGTCCACATTCTATGAACACTGCATAGTGTTTTTTAATGGCACGGAGGACCCTATGGTTCTCATTATACACCAACAAACATACCCCTTGGAAAGTGAAAGCTGAACGCAAATGCAACGGCACTCATTTGGTAGTAACTCAAGTCATCTTTGATGACTTGAGTTACTACCAAATGAGTGCAAGAAAGAATATTTTCATGCGAGTTTTCAATGAAATATACTTCAAGTTGTAAGGGCATCGAAAATAAATATAAAATGCATACTACTTAAGTAGTTATTTATTCACGAGCGCGGCTTTTGCAGGCGGTTGGCATACAGAGGCCGGCATCCAGGCGCATCCAAAATATCATATGATTGTGCCGTGCGGTGCTCGATATTACAAGTCCAAATAAGTAATCCCAGTCGAAAAAGCATTTCAGGATTTCGGTTAACATTTCATGAGATGAGTCAATTTGCCTTATAGGCACGAAGTTCGTCGGTGTGGGCGACTTATTTTAGAGCTCTGGTCGCGAACCCATTACGGCGGTTAAAACCATAGGTTACACACTAGCAATTATGACTTCCGGACCCGTGGAGGAGATACTGTAGTCTTTATGGAAGGTATAGAAAATGGGCCGGTCTATGTTCACAACCGGATGGGGACACACACAGCGCTGCGATTGCGTCGTCTTGAATGAGAGTGGGGGAGTAGTCCCTGTGCCCCGAGCGAACGCACGCCTGAGTCGGCCTTGAAGAATATTGGACGGCTTGAACAGCTGTGATTGGCCATGAATCAGACTAATATTGCGCTACGGGCCTTTTGTCTTATTGGTTGCGATTGGGACTTCCATCTCGGACTCCTTGGTTGTTTTCGCCATTTTCTCTACCACCTGCCTACTGCAATCCGAAATACTCAAAATATCGAGAGCGTGAGATTAATGCCCGCAGATCTGTCCTGGTTCTAGAACGAAATACATATGATTCCGATTTGTTTAAGAAGTGGCATGGCAATGATTATTTAGTTGTAGTATTCCCGGCAGCCGGCGATTACGGTATCAGAATTGGTGAATTCCGTAATTTGCAGTGGGTTGGGGGCACCTTGGCCTAAATGTGACCATACTCACAGCCACCGGTGGGGCCTCGTAGTTCAAGTGGTTAAGGCGTTGAATGTGCTGAGGCCTTTCCCTTGCTGTCATGGGTTCGAATTCCACCTAGGTCGCCCAGTTTTTCAAAATTTGCTTAAATGAATTATTGAAATCTGCTAAAATCCCCTGCTAATTATTAGTTGGACTAATTTTTTGTGGTGCCTCGCGCG